CCCCAAAACCCCAAAACCCCGACTACAGAGCATTAAATTGTGAATTGCATATTTTTAATTTAATAATGACTATTAATTTCTATTTTTATTTCAATTAATTTTTATATTCAATACTCAATTCTATCATTCTACATAACTTACACATCTTTTAAATTCCAAAAGCTTTACATATTCATCCTCATCATATCTTTGGAGTTTAATCATATCTGCTATTTTGAGATTTAGATTCTTGAGTTCAAAAGCTAGATTTATTTTTTCCTCTGTCTATTCTTAAGAATCATTATAAGCAGAGTCAGAATTTGGATTAGAAGTTATTTATTTCCATTATTAAGAAGGTTCTTAAAATATTTAGTGATCCAATTCGACTTCATCAGACTATTACTGCTAATTGATATAGACTTTATTTTATTGCAGAATTTTTGATTTAACTTTGACTATTTAATCTTGAATCAAATAGTCCAAAGAAACACCATCAGCTACTACATCAAAAGATATATATCTAATATATTTACTGTACAAATTTATCTCCTTGATTTTAAGGCATTTAAACTTATCTGTGATATCAGTGGCTGAATTATCAAGTTTAAAGGTCAATACATCATTTTCAAATCTGAAATGGATCAATACGAATTAATCATTTTTCTTATATCTAAAAGAAATACCATCGTCTAGGTACAGCTTACCTTAAGCTTCATTATTTTTATCCAAATACAAGTCTAATCTCAAAGGTTTATCTTCTGCTAAGGTTAATGACTATGATCTCCCATGCAATTTAATGGGAATAATGCTGCCTCCTCTTACATAAGCACCTCTTTAGTTATCATCTAGGATGATGTCCTTTTGTTTAGAATCACCTTCAGTAATCTCTTTAGTTTCATAGTCGTACCAAATATTTCCTTATGGCAATGTCTAACTAGCAAAATACCCAATACTCATTCCTGATTAGAGAGACTATAACTTTGGAAAGATAACAAAGTCTTCCCCGATCATAAATGAATCTTCAGTTTCAATTAATTTTTCATCCTATGGATAATTATACCATAAAGGTCTCATGATAGGCTATCCACTTATTGAGGCTTAATAAAACTATAAGTAGCTAAATAATATTTAAGGTTTTGAAAAAATTCTTACAAATATAGAATGAGGTTATATCTTGTATTTATGGCATCTTTTATCACTCTCTACACTCTATATGATTGTAAATATGGCTCTCTTTTATTATAATCAATATGTCCATGACCTCGAAAGAAGGGATACCAAGCTGCAATCTAGTAGTACATTATGAATAACTCTTAGCTAGGATTACCAGCAAAGCCTGGCACATCAGATCCTACGAAAGGCATTCCAGATATACCCAAGCTTAGAAGCTAGTTCAATGAGACTCCAACTTCGGCTTAATTTGCTCTGTTATCACCAGTCCATTTAGCAGCATACTTTTGAGTTCCAAAGAATGATGACCTAGTTAATATAAATGGTCTTAGCATTGAATCATCCCTGTCTAAAAGTCCTTAATATGTTGCTTTAGTCATTAGGAGTCCATAGGCGTTATGAGTATCTCTGTGGGGAACTATTCTTCCATCACCTAAGACATGAAGATTCTGTTTTGGCATTACTGTTTCCTCAGTGTTAAATACTGAAGGTTCATTCATGTCATTCCATATATGAAACATACTAGTTGTGCCTTTAAACTTTGAATAATCATATAAGGATGACCAATACTCCTATGCAGTAGGATTAAAGTAATCTATCCATGAGCTTTATCCAGGCCAACAATCACCTCTGAAATTATAATGTTAGGGATCCTTGATAAATATGTTTGCAATTTTATCGTTCTTGCATATGTTATTATCTCTTTCAATTTGCAATCCATCTTTATATATAGAATAATCTCGATCTACTTTAATATGAGGGTCTGTAATTACCACTATCTTTCTACCTTTTGAGTTTAAGCTTTAAACTGCTTTATGTAAATCTTACTAAGAGAAAGTGAATGGGTTAAATGTGAAGTATCTGTTTCCATTTGTATGAGGAATATCTAGCCATAAAACATCAACAGGGATGCCAGCATTCTCAAATTTCTAATTATACTCTACAAGTCTGTAAGCAGAAGTCTCTTTTTCCCATTTTGAGTAGTGAAATCCTATCGAAAAACGAGGCGGAAGATTAGGATATCCTGCTATAGTAGCCAACAAATTAGAAACTCTTTTGGGTGGAGTATGTATTCTATCTTTAGAGGCAGATCCTATTAAGAAAAATTCTAACTAGCCACTCTCAGTAATGACATTGATATATTTATTTTTTGAGGAATCAGTCTCATCTAATTCAAGTATATCTATCCAAGTCTCAGCTGCATTATAAAGCATGATACTTTCATCATGATCTTTACTATGACCAGTTATGTAAGGTAAGCTACTATATAGACCGTAATTATTCCATTCCTCGTGAGGAAATAGGTCAACATTGTACAATCTATATGGCTCTTAATCATCTGTATTTTCAAGGAGAAATTGTGAGGATCTTTCAGGCAAGCCGAACAAATCTTTTGAAAATACTTTGAATCCAATCACAAATCCCTCTCTCTTGAGATAATTGCTTGTCTAGGTCTGTCTAATTTATTTAACCATAGAATTTTCTAATAACATGCTATTACCATCTCCTAGATAAATTCTCTAATTTAATCCAAAAAGATACTCTAATGTTTAATTATCCACTTCACTCTTTAAGTAAGCCAAGCAGTCTTCATTAATTTTATCTTTTGTAGTGTCTAATTTTAATAGCTCCTCAAAACTTTCAAACATCAGAGTGTCTTTATCATTGACAATTATTGTAGTAATATCATTTATTCGCTGTTCAATCCTGAATGGAGAAAACTATATGGTGTATTAGTAGGTATCCAATTTATCCTTGCTGTTATAACTAATGAATATCTTTTCATCTTCTCTGACTGAGTAATCCTATAGATTACCAATGGAAATCAGCTATTCTTCAACATGAGAAGCTCCCAAATCATAGTCTGTTAGTTTAAACCTCTATGGATTCACCAGTTTTTCATCAATGTTTACTCTCAAAATGCCGTTCTCATAAATTTACACCTTTAAAAGCAAATGCTCTGCGATATAATAGCTTTGAGAACGAGATTTACTTCCAGCAGAACAACCTAGATAAAGATTCCCTGTAATTTAGTTTCCTACCTATCATTACATATTTATGAAAGAAAATAAATACCATCTATACTGAATCACTTTCTAGGTTGTATAGAAAGTAAGGCTGAATATTTTTTTTCATGTTTAATTCACTCATCACTCTATTCCTGACACAAAAATCTGAAATTTAATAAAGCTAATTGTTTAGATTTATTACCTTGATCTGAGCATTTCTTCAATCCAGCAACTATGCTGATTTGAATGAGATAAATTACATAGATTGCACAAGGGAGCAATTTGAATAATTTGCCTGTTTTAAATTTATTCATTTAATAATTATAGTGTTAAAATATAATAGCTTTTCTCAATACTTTTCTAAGCTTAATATCAACTTCATGGGGTTTTGGGGTTTTGGGGTTTTGGGGTTTTGGGG